ATAAAAAAGAAAGAAATCAAGAAAACAATCTTATTTATGATAGCATTTTTTAAAGGGTAGGGGGATTTCTTTCTTTTTTCAAGATTGATTGATTGGCCGGCGCCACGGCTCACTAAGCTAATCCTCCACCTAGCGGCGCCGGCACACCGGGTTCTAGTCTCGGTCGGGCGCCGGATTCTGTCCCGGTTGTCCCTCTTCCAGGCCAGCCCTCTGCTGTGGCCAGGGAGGGCAGTGGAGGATGGCCCAGGTGCTTGGGCCCTGCACCCCATGGGAGACCAGGAAAAGCACCTGGCTCCTGGCTCCTGCCATCAGATCAGCAAGGTGCGCCGGCCGCGGCGGCCATTGGAGGGTGAACCAACAGCAAAGGAAGACCTTTCTCTCTGTCTCTCTCTCTCACTGTCCACTCTGCCTGTCCAAAAAAAAAAAAAAGATTGATTGATTGATTTGAAAAGCAGAGTTAGAGATAAGGAGAGACAGAGAGAGAGGGAAAGAGAGATTCCATCCACTGGTTTATTCCCCAAATGGCCACAATAGCTAGGACTGGGCCAGGAGCTTCTTCTGGGTCTCTCATGTGGGTGTAGAGGCCCTGGGACTTGGGCCATCTTCTGCTGCTTTCCCAGGTATATTAGCAGAGAGCTGGATTATGATAGTATTTTAAAAGTACTTAGAAATAAATTTAGCCAAGAAAATGGAAAATTTGAACACCAAAAACTGTAAAGTGTTGATGAAAAAAATTGAAGAAATCACAAAGATACACAGATACAAATACCAGTAGAACAAAATAGAGTCCGGAAACAAATCCAAACAATCCTGTTGACAAGGACAACACAACAAGAGGACATAAAGGGGAAAGGATGAGTGGTGCCAAGAAAACTGGATTCCAGCATGTGAAAGAATGGACTTGGATCCTCATGTGACACCATGCACAAAAGTAAACTCAATATGGGTAAAAGACCTAAATGTAAGGCCTTAAACTCTGGAATTCCTAGACTAGAACTTAGTGGGAAACTTTGACATAAGGTAATATTTTTATAAATGGCAACAAAAGCCCAAGCTACAAAAGCAAAATTAATAAATAGGACTACACAGAACTAAAAAGCTTCTATGCAACAAAAGAGACACTCAACAAAATGAAAAGGCAGCCTATGGAAATAATATTTGCAAACCACATATCTGAGAAGAGACTAACATCGAAAATTTATAAAGAACACATCCAACTCAATAGCAGAAAATCTACCCAATGAGGAAAAAAAAGGCAGAAAAGGACTTGAACATTTATCCACATAAAAAAGGGCAACATGTGTATGAAAAGGTGCTTGACATAACTAGTTACTAGGAAGGTGCAAAGTAAAACTATGACATATCAACTCACACCAATTAGGATAGCTATTATCAAAAAGTCAAGTGATGACAAATGTTGGCAAGGGTATAGGGATAGGAAATCCCAGCACATTGTTGGTGGGAATGTATATCGGCAAAGGAAGGATGAGAAGCAGTAGGGAAGGTTCCTAAAGAAATTAAAAGTAGACCTAACATATGATCCAGCAGTTCCTCTTCTGGATGAATATTCAAAGAAGGTATCCATTGCCACATTTTTCAAAATGGTCAAGAAATGGAAAAAGCCAAAGTGTCTTTCAGAGGTGAATGGATAAAAGAGTGGTATCTGCATATGCCATGAAATAATATTTAACCTTAAAAAAGGAATTCCTGCTATTGATGAGTCCAGAGGACATTTGCCAAGTCAAGGAAACCAACAGTTCATGATCTCACATGTGGAATCAAAGAAGAAAGGAGGAGGAGGAAGAGGAGGACAAGGAGAAGAATAAGCTCACAATTTTTAAAAAGTCAAATACACAGAGATAGAATTTTTAAAAAATGGTTACCAGGGGCAGGGGTTAGTTAATAAAACTGTATTTGGGATTTTTTTAAATAAGTAGATTTTAGTTGTTCTTGTCCCACACATGCAAAAGCAACTATGTGAGATGATAGATATGTTCATTCGTCTCACCATAGCAACCATTTTACAGTCATCATGTTGTAAACCTCAAAATACACAAAGAAAACTTTAAAAAGTACAGGAAAGTTAGCAATCATCGAAATATAAAGGTGTGGAGGTCACTTGCATTGAGGAAGGGAGAATGAGAACGTTCTCAACACAGGTGTCTAGCGGAGGTAGCCCTGGAGGTACTGCCATGGTCTGTCCTTGGAGAAGGCAAGACCTCTGTTTGTACCAAGATAAACAAGCTACACTCCCCACTGCAGGAGAGGAAGAAGAGAAACTTCTGTAGCTTCCTCTCCCCCATCTTTCTTGTTTTTTAACCCCAGCTCCTTTGTCCTTCCATTTCTTTTCTGATCCGTTCTGGAATGGCATGGAAAGCCCCCACTACTGAAGTTTAAAGGAGGACTGGAGCAAACTACGTAGCTCTGTTCCACCATGCCCAGCAGAAGTCTTCCTCCAAGCACTGGGGAATCTCTGCTTATTGAAGGAAAACAAAATCACGGGATTTACCCAGCTGACCACGCGCTCAGTATTTCTCTCTAGTCTGAGACATTACACAGTTAATAGAAACTCAAGCATACGTGGAAATTCTCCTGAAGATAGTGACCCAACAAATTATTTTTCAGCCCTAAACAAAAAGAGGCCAAGGAGAATTGTACTAATGTATGTCAGCTTGTGTTAATCTCATGGATACTTAAATTGTATGTAATAAAATTTGCATTTAACTCATGTTCCTAAGTCTATCCCTATATTTTCAGTATTATTTCTAATACAGTGATAGTTTCCAACAAACTGTATTATTGGATTGCTCTCTACATAAAATCTGTATAAAAACAGAAAGCTGCCTACGATGGGTTCAGAAATCCTACTTAACTACATATAAAAGAAGATTAAAATTTTAAGGATTAAATTTTCCAGTTCAGTAAATGTATAATTTAAGAATCCTTTTTATTTTAGGAAAGGGAACGAGGGAGGTATTAATCAAAAGGGCACAAAGTTTTGATTATGCAAAATAAATTCCAGAGCTCTACTGGACAACATAGTGCCTACAGTTAACAACGTTGAATTGCAAGTATATATATTTTTTATTTCTTTTTATTAATATTTTAATCTATTCATAAGCTTACATATTTACAGAATACAGAGTGACATTTCAATACATGTATATAATATGTAACGGTCAGATAAGTGACATATTCATCACCTCAAACATTCATTGTTTCTTGTGTTGAAAACACTGAAAATCTGAAAGGGTATGTCATGTTCAATGTTCTTATCACAAGAAAATAAAGAGAACAGGAGGAAACTTTCGTAGATGATGTTCATGCTTATGGCACAGACTACTGTGATGGTTTCACAGGTATATACTTATTTCTGAAGGCACCAAATTGTATACATTAAATATGTACCATTTTGTATGTCAATCATGCTTCAATCAAGTGGCTTTTTAAGAGTGATTTTGAATTGTGCTTTTCATATGGCAAAAATTCAAATAATCCAAATAGTTATAAAATAAAAAGGAACTCTCCTTCCCACATTTCCCCCATCCCCCTCATCCAAGGTAGGCACTGTAATAAATTTTCTGAGCTCCTCAAAAATATTCTACACACAAACACACATCAAAAAGAACTTTTTAAAAGTCCATTTCACAGGAATGCATTTCAAAATATCTGTATTCTCAACTTGACTCAGCACTTGCACCACTTTTCTATTTGAGGTCAAATCTGTACTAAAGCATCTTAAGACTTGAGATCAGGTACAATTAAAGACCCAATGACATGGGCATGACTTCAGAGACACACACTAAAGATGACAAAGATGTTGTAATGTCCGTAACACTTTCCATGGAACACTCGGGAAGAATCCTCTCTGTACAGTAAGCTCCCAGGATTAAGGCTGGTACCAATTAGACACAAACAATTAAGTGATATAGAACTAGTCTGTGCTATGGTGAATCACATAGGATATAAAATATATTTAGATATTATTTTGTCCACAAGTAAATGGAATCTAAACTGAGCTGATTTTGCAAAAGCAGAGCTACAAATTAATTGTTGCTTTCTAAGCCTAAAAAATTTAGCCAAATCTGAAATACTGCAAGAGGTGCCTAATTAATCTGTTTAACAGTTTTGTGAAACATATTGGTAATAAAGCTTTAAATTTTGACAAAAGCCTCAATAGAGAATGTGTGATGCCCAAGAGGATAGTTGAAGGCAGCTTATTATTTTTAAAATTTTTTGTTTTTATTTTTACTTTATTTGAAAGGCAGAGAGACAGAGATCCTTCATCTGCTGATTTATTTCCCAAATGCCTACAAGAGCCTGGGCTGAGCCAGACCAAAGCCAGGACCCCAAAATCCAATTCAGGTCTCCCTCATGGGTTTCAGTGACTCTCCCTGAGCCACCACCTGCTGCTTCCCAGGGTGTACCTGGGCAGGAAACTGGCATTGAAAGTGGCACCATGAAGCCAGGCACTTCAGCATTGGATTGTGGGTATCCCAAGCAGCATCTTAACCACTGTGTCACACACCCACCCTTAGCTTATTACTTTTTAACCCAACATGTTTCGTATTTCTCATGCTCTTTTCTCTTCTAAACCTGTATTTTTTATCAATTTACAAGAAAAAAAGTCAGGGGCTGGCACTGTGGCGCGGTGGGTTAAAGACCTGACCTGCAGCACCAGCATCCTATTTGGGTGTTGGTTCAAGCCCCAGCTGCTGCACTTCAATCCAGCTCTCTGCTATGGCCTAGGAAAGCGGTAGAAGATGGCCCAAGTCCTTGGGCCCCTGCACTGCATGAGAGACCTGGAAGAAGCTCCTGGCTCCTGGCTTCAGATTGGCTCAGCTCTGGCTGTTGGAGGCCATTTGGGGAGCAGCAGATGGAAGACCAGCATATGGAAGACTTCTCTCTCTTTGTCTCTACTTCTCCCTGTAACTCTGTCTTTCAAATAGATAAAATAAATCTTAAAAAAAAAAAAGAAAAAAGTTGCTTTTGTCTTGTAGGCTCTCCTAACATACAGGAGTGACCCAGTCATGAAAACAATGTTGAATCATCTGTATTTCTACATCATGCCTGTGTTTAACGTCGATGGATACCATTTTAGCTGGACCCACGTAAGTTGTTTTGCCTATCCAATTGAAAAGAGGATTGAACTGACCCTAGAAAATAAGACTTGTAGGGTTGGAAGGAAGTCTGATGGACAGCCCAAGGAATGATTCCAGAGAAGCAAAACAGGCCTTCACTCCCTCTTCAATTAGAACATCAACCATTCAATTTCATTTTCATATTTGGTTTTTGCATAAGATCGTGTATAAATAAGATTTATTCTTCCAAATAAATGGTGAAAAGTCACTGGTCTGTTCCAACCCATTCCATTTTGCTTACAAAACAAAGAATCCAAGAGAAGATAGGAGACAAATAGTTGGAGGCAGAACATGTGGACCAGGAACCTGGGTCTCCACAGCTTTTCCCTTGCCATTCCCTGAGCTGCTCTGTTTACAGAGAAACTCTCCCCCTCACTTAGGTGACTCACTCACTCACTGAGCTACTAAGATGCATATGAGTAACCTTTTAAGTGTTTTTTTCTCTGCATTTATTTTCTTAATCATGCCTAGGATCGATTTTGGAGAAAAACAAGGTCAAGGAACTCAAGGTTTCACTGCCGTGGAGTTGATGCGAATCGTAACTGGAAAGTGAAATGGTGTGGTAAGTTTGGAACTAACTTGGATGCAAATCTGCAGGGTTCACAGGTTTCATTCTGAAAAATGAGGAGCCTGGTAACACTGTACTTGGAAGCTGCCATTCATCTGTATGTGCAAACCTAATGCAGACGGAGAGATGTATACAATGTGGCTATCATTTGGCTATAATTCTTAAGTTTCATTTGTGATTTTTAATTATTTGAAGGGCATGGTGACAGAGACAGAATTCTCCCATCCACTGGTTCACTCCCCCAAATCCTCTTATCAGTCAGGGCTGGACCAGGCTGAAGCCAGGAGCCAAGAACTCAATCCAGGCCTCCCACATGGGTGGCAGGGACCCAAGTACTTTGAACCATCACGTGCTGCCTCCCAGGGTGTACATTAGTTGGAAGCTGGATCAGAAGCAGAGCGGGAACTCGAACCCAGGCACTCTGAAATAAAATGCAGGCGTTCCAGGCAGCATCTTAACTGCTGTGCCAAAAGCAACCCCCTCTCCCCAGATTCTTTTTTTAATACATAAAAATCAATGATTTAAATCTGTCAACCCAATTCTGAAAGTTAAAATTGTAAACACAGCCATAAAAGCAAAACCTGAGGAATTTTTGTCATTTACAGAACCAAAATGGAAACTGAAGTTTGCAGCATAAATCCGGTCAAGTGTTTGCATCCTTTTTCATAAGAGTGACACTGATCCCGCCTTCATCTGTCTGTGGTGCTCACAGCTGTCCCATCCTTATCTAGAACCTACCAATTTGCCAGTCATATGTTTATTGCCATTCACACCAGGAATGTTTCCACTGCATCCCATGTTTCATTGACACTTGCCTTTCAAGTAAAGGAAGGATGTACCACCCTGTTACAAAAGCAGGAAGCAGTCAATTACCAGGGAGGAAAACACGTTAAAATCCCTTACGGTTCATAGTTGCAGCAGAAACTGGAGGGCAGGGAAAGCATTGTCCAGATGCAGCAGTCGAGAGCTGCCTCTCTCTCTCTCTCTCTCTCTTTTTTTTTTTTTTTTTTTTTTGACAGAGTGGACAGTGAGAGAGAGAGACAGACAGAAAGGTCTTCTTTTGCCGTTGGTTCACCCTCCAATGGCCGCCGCAGCTGGCGCGCTGCGGCCGGCGCATCGTGCTGATCCAATGGCAGGAGCCACGTGCTTATCCTGGTCTCCCATGGGGTGCAGGGCCCAAGTACTTGGGCCATCCTCCACTGCGCTCCCTGGCCACAGCAGAGGGCTGGCCTGGAAGAGGGGCAACCGGGACAGAATCCGGCGCCCCGACCGGGACTAGAACCTGGTGTGCCGGCGCCACAAGGCGGAGGATTAGCCTAGTGAGCCGCGGCGCCGGCTGAGAGCTGCCTCTTTTCACCCAGTCTGTCTTTAGTGCCTTCAGAATGTAAACACGTGTGCCATGAGAAGCCATCCTGCAGTTCCTCTGCGATCATCATGAATTGATTCATCCTACCAGGCTTTGGGTTCTGTATTAGATGGTGCCACTCCAGTCCCCATTAGCATGAGAGAACAGTTAGGCATACGTGTAGACTCTTTCCACATTTCCTTCTAAGCCACAGCCCTCAATCAATTAGAATTGCCAAACAAGAACCTGGCATAGCTGAAAGAGTTGGCTCTGCACTACAGCAGATGTGGTTCAATGCTACCATTACCAGCTCAGTGATTTGGGCCTTTTTTCTTTAATCTATAAAATTATAATAACATTCCCCTCATGGAGTCCTAATGGGAATTAAAGGAACTTGCATGTGAGAAATGCCTAATTCACTTCCCAGCTCCAAAGAGGAGTACAGATCTCAGTAATCTAGCACTTCTTCCCTACTTCGAGAACGGAGTTGATTCACCTCTGAGCCTCAAAGCAGCTGGTGACACAGCCTCTCTTCTTCGCGGGGATATTGTGATAAGAAGCAAAAATAATGTAAGCTTACAGGCACGTGCACTTATGAAGAAGAAAAGGTTTGCATAAGTACTATAATGTGGCTCTTTATATTTAGAAAATGGCTTCTCTGACCTGAGAAACACTGAATCCCCCATGCAGTAACATTATGGCCTTTAGGTGGTAATTAGATCATAAAAGTGGCATGCTCCTGCATCGAGTCAGTGCCCATATAAAAGAGGCCAAGGGAGCTCGTTGACCCCTTCTGCCATGTAAGGACATAGTTAGAAGGTGCCATCTGTGGAATAGGAGCCCTCCCAGACACGAATCTGTCCAAGCCTTGATCTCCCACTTCCTGGCCTCCAAAACTCTGAGCAGTAAATTTCTGTTTATAAATGACCCAGTCTACGGTATTGTGTTATAGGAGCCTAAACAGACTATGATATCCCCTAATTCTGTTAATTTTTTAATTCTTGTTTTTCCATTTTCTCTGCTGGGGCCATTTATAAATTCATAACTACATAGATTTTTCACTAGGTAGCCAATGCCTGGCTCCATATGCATATGCTATGCATGCCTGCACTCATGTGGCTGAGTATTGAGTGGGTAACTGAGCTGGGTAACATTAGCAGGCCATCCAGCTCTGCCTGTGTAAAGTTAGACTCTTGTTTATATCCAGTTACAAGTGAGAGTCTTGCTTCTCTTGTTTGTCTTCCTTTACTCAGCATAGCACCTTCACACAGATGCTTTCTATGATTTCTTAGTTTCAACTGGAATCTCCCACTAGAATTCCTTTGATTCTACCCTTTTTTTAAAAAAAAATGTTCTGATATTTCTTGTGGTTTAACACTCAAGATGTATGAGGGATTATGTCAAACTTCATTTGCAAAATGATCTTGATAGACTTTTAGAAATGATATGGAGATCCAAGAAGCCTGGTGGGACTGTCAGCCCCAAGACTTCCAGAGTGAATTGAGCTGACCTGATGGACAAGCAGGTGTGGCCTCCTCCACAGTCTCAGATCCATCTTCACATAGCTATGTACCAGTCAGTGTCACAGTGGAACACACCGAGGGAACCATTCTTAGGCTAAGAACACTGGCATAAGTATGAAATCCCCTAAAGTGAACATCTATAGTCAAAAATGCCCAGGACCATTGGAAACACTATGGAGTCAGCAGTGAACTGACAGAAACAATTGTTTCTTTCTGACAGATCAGTGAGTCTCAAAATTAAACAGCAGAACGTGAAACTGATTTTTACCATGAACAATCTGTAGACTCCCATACGGCAATAGTGGCAATTTCATGCATCCGTGGGAGTACACAGTCTAGAGCATACACATGGAGATGGGGGCACCTTTCCAATACTTCATAGGCCCCCAAGGAACCCTCAGACCATGAAATTAATATCATTGCTATGGAAATCCAGCAGAAGATGAAGCAAGTCAGGAGTAAATACATAAATCTTACTAATCGGTTTGCCAAGTTAACTGAGCACATAACCTCTGCTAGGCTTGTGCCTTTCTCCTTCCTAAATGGACTCTTCTTGGAATATGTTGTGAGCGCTGATTTTTTTTGCTAAGTCAGAGAAAACTAAGGAGAGAGGGAAAATGATGTGGACGATATCCATAATTAAGTCTTAACCACTTAGTAATTCAACGTTGCCTAAACATAAAATATGACTTAGGAAAAACTTGCAGAATGGGAAGATATATATGCAAGTCATATTTCTAATAAGAGACTTGTATTCATAATATGAAAGAGCTCTCCCAACTCAATAGTTAGAGGACAAATAAGCCAATTTAAAGTCTACAAACTATTTGAAGAGATCTTTCTCCAAAGAAGACATACAAATAGGAATGAACACATGAAAAGATGCTCATTCTCATAAGCCATCAGGTAAATGCACATTAAAACCATAGAAAAGAACCACTTCACCCACACAAAGATAACCATAATAGAAGACAGAATAACAAGTGTAGTGTGAAAAAAAATTGGAACACTCACACTTGCTAATGGGAATGTAAAATGGTACAGTCACTTTGGAAAACAGAATGGCACTACCTCAAAAAGTTGAACATAAGGTTCCCATATGGCCCAGCAATTCCCTTCCTAGGTGTAATAACAAGAGAAGTGAAAGTAATTGTTCATATAATGTCTTGTAAGTGAAATCTCATAGCAGCATTATCCGTAATAGCTAACAAGTGAAAGTAAGTAAAATGTCTATCAACTGATGAATGGATACACAAAATGTGACAGATCCATACAACAGAATATTACTTGGCCACAAAAAAGGAATGAAGCACTGAAACCTGCTGCAAATGGTTGAACCTTGAAAACATTATGGTCAATGAAATAAGCCATCCCATAAGGCCAAGTATTGTATGGTCTATTTATTTGAAATGTGCAGGGTAGGCAAATCCATGGAAACAGTAGATTAGAGGTTGCTGGGAGCCAGGGAAGTGTATGGGTATGGAGTTTCTTTCAGAGATGATGAAAAAGTTCTGAGATTAGTTAGTGACAGTGATTTGAATATACTAAAACCACTGCATTGTATACTGCAGTTAGGTGAAGCTTATGGCATGTGAATTATAGTTGTTATAAAAATAAACAATAAAGCCATTATAAAAGAATTTCTGATTTCCATTTAGGAGCGAATTAGGCTCTTATTTAAATATATAACTCTTTTAGAACACCCAATTATCTAATACTGTAAATTAGCTGTAATATGTGGAAAGCCATGTTTTTTAGCATCTTGATTGCAGGTGTCCCTCTCCACATGTACGTCCTTCTCCTATCACTCTTCTCTTCATTCTATCAAGAAAAGAAAAAGAAAAAAAAGATGTTGTTCTGGTTGGCAAATATTCAGACAGGTTATCTGGAGGGAAGAGCTAAGAACCCAAGCTGAACTGCTCCGAAAAGAAAGGAAATTTCCAAGTCTAAATTTGGGGGCAGGGAAGGGGGAATAAAGAGGTAGCGATGCTGCACTATTAGAAAGGAGAGCCTTTGGGACTCAAAGATATCTAAGGAGGATTTTACTGAAAGTTTGCTGTGAAGTATGTAAATTCTTGCCAGTGTTTCCTAACTGCCACCATTGGAAATACTCAGCACAATCTACT